CCAACGGAGAGAAGCTGCGGAACGTCCTCCTTGATGACCGTCACCTTTATGACGCCCGGCACGTTGGCAAGCACACACGGCACCAACGCCTGGAATAGAGGAGTCGCCTTGCCTCCCACACCATGTGCCGACGGCGGCTCAGCCTCCAGACGAAGACAGCGCAGCCCCTGTGCCTGAAGACGACCATTCAGCTTCTTGAACGCCGGCTCCCCAATCAGGTCCTGCGCCGCGCCAATGTCCAGGATAGCATGGCCCGGCGCCACGGCAAAGAAGATGTCAAGTGCCAGCGTCATCAGGAAGGCCAGGCGGAGGGTCACGGCGCTCTTGCGGTGAATCGGGTAATCGAGCGCTCGGTCGCGAAGCTCCGTCGAGACCGCCCCGGGGTCGTGGTAGCACCGGTCCTCGTCATCGTGATTGTCCTTGCGGGGAATCGGGTGCTCGAGCTCGGAGTCGCCAGCCTCTCCACCTTCTCGGCCGGCCCAGCCCACAAAGGTGTTGCCCGCCACCGGCTCATCAGCGGGGAAGCCCAAGTACACAAAGGACACGGCTCGCTTGCCCTTGTCATCACCACGGCCCTCGGCTCGATTTCGCTCTTCCTTAGAACGGTAGGGCTTCTTGCACTCTGCTTGCCAATGTCCTCGCTCCCCGCAATTGGCGCACCGAGTGCGCTCCTTCAGGTCACTCATGCTCACACGCGGCTTGCTGAACACTCGCCGGTCCTTTCGGGCCGCCTGCTTGCGATCCTTGTTCTGCTTCCAAGTGCGCCTCCGAGTCGCCTGGCCGCCCCCGTCCTTCTCAAAGGCTGCCAGCATCTCAAGAGCGACGCCCTCCTCAGCATCGGTCACCTGCGCCAGGAAAGCCTCAACCTCCCCGGCATCGTCCTGGGAGGGCTCGCTCTCGTCTCCGGAGTCGCCCTCATCATCGCCAGCCGCATTGGTGGCCAAGCCTGCCATGAAGCTGTTCTTCCCTTTGGTGAGCGGCTCCTCCTCCACATCCAGCGTCTTAAGGGCCCCAACCACTCGGTCGAAGTCGGTGGAGCCGCCGGTCAGCGTCCTCAAGTTCTGAACGCCCTGCTTGGAGAGCCCCGCCGTCTCCTCCAAGATGAAGGCCTTGAGCTCCGAGGGGATCGTGAGGTAGCGGTCGGCCCCTGAGAACTCCTGCTCGCGGCGCACCGCAAACTGAGACAGCGTCTCCTCCTTCCGCCTTTGTCCCTCAAACAAGGCAGCTCGGACCACTCGCCTCTTCTCAGACACATCCTTCTCGCCCGCGATGCCGTCCAGAATGTTGAGGACCGCCTGCAAGTAGTCGGGTCCAGCCAAGACCTGTTCGCTCACATGCTCAAAGCGGCTCTGAAGATCCCAGTCCAGCTGCTTGCTCAGCTTCTCGAAGCGTCTCCATACAGGAACGTCGGTGTTCTGGTTCCACCTCAGGAGCGCCTTCTTCCAAAGCCGATAGCTAGCCCAGCCGCCCCAGGCCGGAGGGTCGCTATAGTCGCCCTTTGTCGTGGATCCCGGCTGCCACCACCACGGCCTCCAGTCACTTCCCTGCCAGCCCCCTGAACCCCAGGAGGTTGATTGCCAGGACTGTCCTTGCCATGTGGGCTGCCATTGGCCGTCGCCCGGCGCCGCTGCGCCATCAGACGCAGTTGCCGGCTGAGTTGCCGGCTCATCTCCATCCGCCACTGCGTCCCCATCGCCAGTGTCAGGCCCCATTGCCTGCACTGCCGACCATGTCGGCCAAGATCCACCGTAGGCACCGCCCCAATAAGACTGCGAATCGACTGAGCTCTGTCGCCATCCACCATAGGCCATGGCCCGGGAACTTGGAGCAGTGCTCCGCTACCACCTGTTGCACAGACAACAGGTGGATGAACTGGAGCTCGGTCGTTTTGGCTTCACTCGCAGCACTCACTAAGGGGCGATGCCTTCTAGGGTCCCTTGTGCCGACAGCAAGATCAGAGCGCACGTTCACCACTAAAAAGGTATGAGGTAGATTCGCTCAACACCGTCTGATCTCTGGGCCATCAACCCCTGTCTCAGTTGTTCGTAATGCCGCCCCACTAAATATTCCTCTCCCCCTGCGCGTTGGAGTTCCAGGTACGTGCGTGGATGTGGTAGAGTCAGCCTACTCCAAGTTCTCAAGTTTGTGGCAATGACAACCCATTGGTCGTCGTGTGGACATGCTGCTCGCGACTGTCTGGCAGTGGGGGGGAGGAGACCACGGCCCATGGGTTTGAAGCCAGCTGCATACTGTCCACCCAGAGAATGACCAGCGACGATGAGCTGACCAACCTCAGTGCTGCTACATTCCCAGAAGGTGCGAGTCATCCACCAGTAAAGCTCGTGAGTCTCGAGGAGTGGTATCAGCAGCTCGGATGTGGCCAAGGAACCCCTTCGCCGGAACATCGCTCCAGCTGCTCCTGCAGCACAGACCACTGCTGCACCCGCAGCTGGGCAATGGCCTGGCAAAGCTCTTTGAGGTCACTTTCGCAGGATCCGGGCAGGTCCGAAGTAATCCCAAAATATTCCAACAGTCAAGTCGCATGATGAGCACCATGGTGAATAAATGTCGTGCGGTCGGCGAATGTTGCATCAAACGGTGTGTAATCTGGCCCCACGGAAGCATTTGCCACGAAGTCGTTCATGAATGAAGAGCCCTTGAATATCAAGTACAGCACCTGGTGACCCAACGGCAACTGAGCGGATGCAAACTGTGGAAACCCTCAGAAACATCTTCTCGAGCCTAGGAACAGCATTGCCAGCGTGCGGTGCTGCCGTGACGATCGCCAATCGAGCAGGGCTGCCCTGCATCGGATCGTCCAGAACACTGAGGACCTCTTCGAAGCGAAGGATAGCTGCATCACTTCAATACTCACAACTCTGAGTTCTTTCCAACCTGGAACTTCACCGGCTCTCCCCCCACCCTCAGCAGAGATTACGTACGTTACCGGAGGCCTGACGAAGGTGCAGCGATGCAGACAGGGCTCTTCAGTGTTGGCACGGCAGACGGCTTCACTGAATCTACGAAATAAATCCATTCGCTCAGCCACGCCGCCACGAAGTCCTGAGCAAACCCTCCCACGTCTAGCTTGCAGACTAAAGGATCTGTGTCTCACAGGATGTCCTGCACTAGTCTCTCCCCCAGCTCGAGGGAAATGTCTGGAGTCTCACTGAATTTCGTTTCCTCAACGTCTTCAGCCGCCAATTGCACCGGAGAGTCCTGATTTTGGCATGCCAGCGATCTGTCTCACCGCCGTTGCCATGGCAGCTCGTGTCCAGCCTCCTTGGGGGTTTCCTCTTTGCAGGTTTGGCCCTTTGGTGATATCTCCTTTCACAGAAGTGTTCAGAAGGGTTTGCACTTGCGGCCGCTCGTGCCTTGACTTCCTCACTGGGCTCATGAAGCAGAATGTTGGAGGCATCCCAGGGCAAGCCACAGAGCTTTCCGCCTGAACAAGATCTCAGGTGACTTCAAGAACCCGCATCACAGGCGGAAGGCGGAAGGCACCTATTGCTGCAGCGAAGCCCCACTTGCCAGTCCCAGAATCCAGGCCCGTCACATCGATGACCGTGGCGGATGCTGTCGCCGGGTCCACCACCAGGATGCATTGCCTCAAAACGACAATCCTCGACCGGAATAACTGCAGTCAAGACGACGCACATAGAGATGCCGAGCATCGCATTGTAGGGAATGGCATAGATCTTGCCACCCAGTACCGCTGCAGCTTGCCACTTGCCCTTGACCTCATCCGACAAGTGGCCAATGCCAATCCCTGAAACCTCCTGGCGGGGCACAGACTGCTAAAACAAAGCAGCAGTTCGTACGGTTCGGTTCGCTGTTCTTGCTATCTTGCTGTTCTTCGGCCTCAGAGGCCAAGTCGAAGACGAGCACGGCGTTGGCATGGTCAGGGATGCCGTAAATCTTCCCGGCACAAACCACTGTCGTGACCCACTTTCCTGGACCAGTGGCAACGGCTGTAGTGTCGATACCACGCAGGCGATTCGTGGCGGGGTCGAAAACCAGAATGCAGTCAGCATGGCAAGGCACGGCATACATGATCCCTGCCACTGCTACAGCACAGAGCCACTTAAAAGGCCCTGTGGCAAAGGGCTGCGTCTGGACTCCCGTGCAGCGCTTTGTCAGCGGGTCGTAGATGAGAATGGAATCCGCATTGCAAGGCACCCCCAGCACCTTCCCACCCAGGCTGAGTCCGGCGAGCCATTTGGAGTTGCCGGTCGCGATGTGGGTTGTGTCGACACCCACCAATGTGTCCGTTTTCACATCATAGACCAGAAGCTTACTAGCATGATGCGGAATTCCGTAAACCTTGCCTGCCAAGACTACAGCAGATTGCCACTTCAAAGGTCCACGCGACAGCTTGCGAGTGTCCACCCCAGATGCCTTGCCGGTGCTGAAATTATACACCAACAAAGCCTCTGCCCGGTCAGGGACACCATAAAGGCTTCCCCCTATGGCCGCTGCAGAGCGCCACTTGCCCTGACCTGTCGCGATCCGGCGAGTATCCACAAAACGCAGCGGCTCGGACTTGTCGGAGCTATCAAAGATCAAGAGATGCTCAGAGTTGCAGGGAAGTCCATACAGCTTGCCACCCAGTGCCAAACCTGCCCACCACCGATTGCAAGCGACGGGAGTGGAGCGAGAGATGTCTATGCCCCACACGGCCGCCGATGAGGATGCTCCCATGCTTCGCGGCCCATGGCCAGGCCACTAAAAGAGTTGAAATGGGCCTCATTGCCAACTACGAGTACTGTCCTGGACCAAGGAAATGATGCGACGAAGATGAGAACCAGCCAAGAACTGTCTGCAGGAAACTCTAGGCAACCCGGCAGGCTGTGAATCCAGCTGACGCATGGTCATTTGCGGGGAGGCGGCCAGCCCAAGCTCTGCAAAGCCGCTTTCCGGCGCGCAAAACGCAGACCGGATGGGAGGAATGTGGCTTTGTACACACGCTCATTAGCTTCAGAGCATCCTCAGAAGGACGTCTAGAACGGGGATGGCATCTGCACCTTTGGCTTCCGAAACTGTTCCCGCAAAGCAAGACGAGAGCACGGTCGGCCTGTGGCTTTGAGAAGCTCCTGGGGCTGTGCAGTGACCTCCGCACGCGCGGCGCACCCTGAGCCCACATCCTGCGCCACACCTACCGTCTCCTACCGTGCTCGGCCTGATGGACTGGCTGGAGGGACGGCTATCAGAAGCTCGAGTCGCCGAGAGCTCGTCAAGAGTGCTGAAGTTGAAAGACCTCATGCTCACAGTGTGCTCCCAAATCTGCCCGCCTCCCTCCTTGATCTGAGTCTGAGGATCCGGCAGCGCTGTAGCCGACGAGCCCCGCACCTTGAGCCGAGTCCAGCTTGCAAGTGCAACTGCGCAAGGCCGCAGCTTCCGGCCTCTTCTGCGTGCGATCGCCGCGGGCCCTGACAATCGCGATTGCAATCACCACCCACCCGGGAAAGTGACATGTGCTTTCCCTGGCCTCCTCTTCGTCACGTATGGAAAACAAGCCTTAGGGGCTTCAAACACCCTTGCAGCTCTTCAAGGACTCATGCAGCCGAACGCCACAGTGCGATGTTGCGTTGCTGGTCCGTTTGCTTCCCCTTTGCCAACCGAGATGCGCTCAACAAACTCGTTCTGCGGGTTGTCCATCGAGCTCAAGTCCTGAAGCGAAAACTCGCAACATGACCTCTTCTTCGCAGAGGGAGGAAGGCCCTGGTGGGCAAGCACGGCAAGGCACGGCAGAGCAGCCAGCAGCTGAGCTTGGCACACGGTCTGCTTCCAGCTGGCTCACTTGAGCTGCGGCCGTTGCAAAAAGAGTACCCTGAAGGCGACATTCCGAGCAAACATCGAGTTCGTCAACTTGCTGGAAGTTGTTCACTCTGCAAGATTCATATTCACATCGCAGTCGATTATCTGGCACTCGTTCGCCGGCTACCACAGAGTCTGTTGAAGCTGGATTTTCTGGTGTAGTTGCACCAGCACGGCTGGCTTCTGTCTCCGTTTCTTGATGAGTTGTTGGAAGGGCTGCGAAAGGAGTGACTCTCATCTACAAGGCCTTGACGCAGCTCACAATGCCCATCGCCAGGATGTCAAACCTTGGAATGCGGACAGATCAGCAGCGAAGCTCATGCCAAGGAGACCAATCAAAAGCATTTCAGAGTCTTCAGAGTCATCAAGCTTTCAGCACAGGTCATGAAGGGCTTGCAGGAGCAAAGGAAGTACAGGGCTCTGGGCTTCCCTGAGAGTCGGACACCAGGGAGTCCAGCAGCAACAACCAGATCAGCACCTGGGACGAAAGAGAAGCAAAAAGCAGCATGAACGGAATCCGCAGAGATGAGGCGCCACAAGGGACACCGCAGCGTTCCATATACCAAGGATTTCCAGGTTGGCAAAGAGTCGGCCAAGATCAGGATCCTGAAGAAGCAGGCTCTTTTGCCGCGAGACTCAGTTATGCTCATGTCCGCGTCCTCTGTTAGCAGGAACAGAATCCCCACGACAAACCTGAGCTTCAGCTGTGGCTGCGTGCGAATGAGAAATCTCCAGACACGGCCAAGGGACGCAAGTGGCTGTGCCAAAGGGGGCAGCAGCACCCAGACCTCATGAAACTGCACCCTCTGCTGCCTGTGCTGTGGAACCAGGAGCCGGGCCATGCCAGCCACCATGCTGGTTTTGAACAGTATCCTGGCGAGACGATCACAAGCGCAAGGCTCTGCTGCGAGTGCAAGGAGTCGGCTGGCTGGACCCACAGATCAAGCAGAAAGCCAAGAGATCGAAGGCCAGGAAACAGATCAAAGACCTGAGATGCCAAGAACCGGGACCCAAACTTACTGGGGGAAAGCATAGAGCAATGAACCATAACAGCTATCATCGGAGATCTGAAAAAGCAGAGTGCATCCTCCAACCAATCGAACTCACTAACAGGAGGTGGTCGAGAGAATGCTCTCTGGTCGTCTACCACCAGAAAATCTTCCATGACTATGGAGCCACTACTGGTAGCCCACGCTTCCCCTTCTTCCCTTCGAGGTTCTGCTTGAAACTGTCGCTCGGGAAACCTCTAGAAGACTTTGCAGGAAATGCCAATGGACGAAGAGGGTTCACCAGTTAGGGAGGCTGCGTGCTCGAATGCGCCGAGGGACACCAGAGTTCTCGCAGCAGTCTGCTCAGACCCTGTGCAGTGCCGTGCAGTAGCTCACGCCAGGCAAGCACTTCAGAGGAACTGAGAGTGAGTGTCTCACCGGAGTATCCCCATCGAAGCAATGGCCTGGCCAGACGCTGCGCTTGATGCTGCCATGACTTCTTTGCTTTCGCCTGTGTGAAACGCCTCGCCTTTTCAGACTCCAGCCACCGCTGGTGTCAGCAGTAACCAGGGGATTCGAGGACTCTTCGCCTAAGGCCACTTCTCAAGGTCTCAGAGCTTTGGCAGAGCACTGAGAGGGCCCAGCCTACTGCCAAAGCAGAGCTCCTCAGGGCTTCGTTCAGCGCCTGCGGCTTTGGGCGACATGCCACCGCCAGACCTTCTACCAAGGCAGAAGCAGGACCTCTGGAGCGATCGGCGTCGTCAGAACCTCGGAGGAAGGAGATCAAAAACTCTCTCCTTTCCTTACCCGTCACAGTTGTCTATGCTTCTATGCGCTGTCGTTTGGCTCAGCGGCTTTGGAAGTCGGCTGGGCTGCTGCAGGGCTCGCAAGTGACACGAGGTCGCTGCTGCTGGCACCTAGGATGCAGACTTGATGACACTGGCAACGAATGAGAGAAACGTGTGCCCAGCTTGCAAGAAGGGAGAACTCGGTAAAGACCAAGCAGAGTCCTCGGCACCGCATCGCTGGCAAAATGTTTACTTTAGGTCAGGACCTGGATATAGAAACTGCTTCCCAGCAACGGAGCTCTCGCCGCGTCCGAGGAGATGGCCGCTCACCTTGTGTCACCTGAAAGAAGGAAGACATGCATCAGGCATTGTGCGTTCTGAACCTGGCCTCTGGACCGACAGGAAGGTCCATGAAAGAGTTGGCTCCCTTTCCACGGGTGCACGTTGCCAAGCCCTTACATGAACACTTGCATCAGGTCGCCTGAGGCTCGCTGGATCTCACAACGCTCGCAGCCACCGAATCCTCCATACGGCTGAGTGTATCGACGCCTGGCATCGGTCAGCGCTTCGGCGCTTCAAGCCCCAGAAGCTTGCATAGCCGGAAGACAGGGTGGAGCGGAGCCTCGGAACTTCTCTCTCTGCCAAATCGCCAGAACTTGGACAAATCCTCCCAACCTGGGCGATTTTTTCAGGCTCTTCGAACGCACATCATCAAAATTTTGAACTGACCGGCACAAGAGATCCAGTCCAGCAGCCCACACTGCGAGGCACACTGCTCTACCTTCTCGTGCAGTTGCTGTAAAGGATCTTCGCCATCGGAGTTCTGCAGATTCTGCAGCTCATCCTGTCACATGCCCACGAAAAGCAGCATGTTCGCACTGGCTATCGCATCCCCCCACCTTGAAAAGTCGGCGGGCGATGCGGTTGAAGGTTGAGAGAACTGAGAGAATTGCCGTGGGACCATGGTCAGTATGCTCCAGTCGCTGCAACACCGGATCACTCATGTCCACCTCGTAGGGCTCCTCAAAAGTGCCCTGGCCTTGGACCGGAATTAGCCAAGCCTCTTTCCTCAAGTTCACAGGAGCAAAGTCCATGGGCGATCTCGCGAAGTCGAAGACGTCCAAATACGCCAGGGTGGCTTTCCGATTGCATCCAAATCGCAGGTGCAACTCACCACCTGCTTGACGAATGGGTCTCCATAGCCTTTCTGCTTCGCAGAACTCCCGCACCAGTGGCAATATCGTCCGTGCACGCCTGCATCTGCAGAACTTGGCAAAGAGCGGAGCTGCGGGCGGGTAGAGATACTGCAGAATGCGCTCCGTACGTGACTGGAACTTGGGGATGTTTGCTGCGTTGTTCACCAACCTCGCCAGCTGCTCCCACTTCTCCCTGATGACCATGTCATCCAAAGCTGCCGGCACCTGTAGCTTCAAGAACCAAGGAGACTTTCCGGCGTTCTCGCCCTGGAGATAGATCCTGCCGGTGTGGAAGGGCAGCTGTTCCTGAGACATCTGAAACTCCGATGTGTGCCGCACCTGCACGACTCTCGTCTGCGCAGGTTCACCATCACTCAAGCTGCGCCGGCGACTACAGTATCGCCAGAAGCAGGAAGCCCAGGACAAAGAGAAGCTGCCACTTTGGCCGTCTTCGCGCCGAGTGCGCACTCCGGAGTGGGAGAAGGATCCTGGAGGCCTCAGGATCACAGGCACAAAGGCACACTGCAAGGCACACTGCATCAGATTCTCAGACTGTGGCGTGCGGCGTGCCACCGTGCGGTGCGGCCCTGAGCCGCGGGCCCATCAAAACCCAGCAAGGGGCGTGACAAGCCGCCCGACTTTCGTCGACGCCACAAGAGCATGGCAGCGCTTGTCACAATTGCGATTACGATAGCAAGCACTCCTTTGGCACCACCGAAGAAACTGAGAGCGTAGGCCATAGGATCCAGGCACCCAGGATTGCTCTTGCGGTTCGGAACCCCCACACCACACGAGTATGGACAGTTCGGGTTGGGCCACTTCGACTTGGTGTAGTTGCCATTCGGAGGCTTGTTTGTGCAAGCCTGACAGCCACTGAGGCCCCCCGAGCTCCAAAACCCGGCATCGCAAGGGTCACAGAAAAGGCCTGCATAGCCGGCGCTGCAGCCTCGCAGAGGCATGGCCTGACCTTCGTGGCCATAAGTCTCTCTGAGACCATGACCGTTCGGCACCACCCAGGAGCAGTTTGTGCCAGATCCGTCATTGCCCATCAAACCACCAGCCACATCCACTACCAACTCGCCATGTGACGGAAACGGTGAGGTTGCCGTCCAATTGAACCCCACGAATCCACCACCACCTCCACCGCTTAGCACGTTTGCGCTGGCAGAGCAAGCGCCGGCGCCTCCTGCGACGCTGACCACGGGAGCCTTCAGGGAACTCTTGGCTACGAGGCCGTCACAAAGGCGGAGTGACCCGACACTACCTCAGACTTCTTCTCCTGCCTCGTCCGCGGTGGCTATCTTGGTTGCGAAGATCAGGATTTGTCCACCAGCCCCACCCGCAGCCACATGCTTGCTGACGACCCCACCGGGGTAGCCTTCGGCCCTTAAGACAACCCAGTTGCCAAAGGAGACGCTCCCGGAGGCACTCGAAGCGGACAACCAGATCAGCCCACCCCCAGCTGCATTTCCAGCTAGGGTGTTGACAGAAGTCCCTTCCTTGGTGTCGGGTCCCAGGTGGCCAGATGCACCGCCGGAGGCACCCTCTGTCGGCAGGAAGAGCTGATCGTAGAGATCGTAGGGTGGCCCGCTGACCGTGGAGGCATCTGGCAGCACGTTGTGCGTGTCGAAGGTACCTGAACCCACAAAGCAGAATTCGTGGGGAAACACCGAGTCAAGGCTTCCCCCGCGTTTCGTCCAAGAAGCCGCCACAGCCTCCCTTGCCCAAATGAGTACCTCCACCTTCAGGCAGCAGCTTCCATCCACTTCAGATGCCACGACTATCACAAAACCAAACGCCTTCTAAGCAAGGCACCTGCCAGGTAGGCTCCACCAGAGGCAGGACTGGACCGGACCGTGATACCAGGCGCCCGTCCAAGACCAGCCGCGCAACCACGGCCCGAGACATCCACAATGTTGTGTTCTTCGAAGCGAAGCTCCCCAGCCGCCACGCAAAGGATTGATGATGCACCTGGTGAATGCACACAGCTCTTGATCAAAAAGTGCACAACGAGATTCCAGAAACCCTGCCTGACAGCATGGCATGGCTCGACAGATTCAAGGAGGTGCGTGCAAGGAGCACCTCGGCCCGGATGTAAACATGGATCAGGCATGCGACACGCCAATCCAAGCCAACAAGTTAAGTAGATTCAAGCTGCCAGGTCGAAGGAAACGTAGGGATCGTCCACGGAGTCCGGCCAGGATCCCGGCCACGTGGACCAAGCCGGAAAGCAGCGATCCCTTGCTCCTGCGCAAGTACTGCCGGGGCAGAGAAAGGAACCTCAAAATGCAACGGCTACCGCGGCAGGCCTGCGCTGTCTGCGGTGTGTTTGCAGGTCGAGTAGCCCACCGTTTGGATGCGGCTGCTGGACGCAATGACCATGGTACCAGCAGACGCACGCAGCCCTCAGTCGCATAGGGTGGACATGAGAAGGGCCGTTTGCCGGAGACCGCCGAGCGTCTCTCCAAGGTCCAGGTAAAGCTTTGGCTTCCGATCAGCATGTGGCCTGCTCGCAACAAAAAGGCAGCAAGGCCCGAGCTGAACAGAACCAGAACTATTCCCGGCCTTGGGTAGTGACGTCCAGCTGCGTGGGCTTCTGACCTCCCTTGCCGTCACTCTTCTTGAAGCCTGGGATGGCGGCATCCAAGGCCAGATCCTTCTCCGCCACAAGTGTGATCCTCGCTGCCGACAGAGTTGAGTTGCTGCAGTCGACCTGAGCACATTGTGCGCCTGTGCGAAAGAAACGCATCGACACAACTCTACCAGTTGCAACTACGGCACGGAGACCGCTTTGCCACTCATCTGCAACGACTGCGTGGGGTCGGTCACCGACAAATTGTTTGCACCCTGGAGACATATCTTGCTCTGGTTGCAGTTCACTTGGATGTTGCCACCTGCAACAGCAACGAGAGCACTGAGGGCATTGGAGCACCGCGAGATTTCCTCCTTGCAGCTGCTTGCACCTTGTAGCGCTGCGTCCACAACCAAGACGCCGGGGTCGCTGTTTTCGTCGCGAGCCTTGAAGGTCGCCTCACCAGGGTGTCTGTGCAGATCCACAAACCGTGAGCATTCGATATGGTTTCTGCACCAGGCTCCGTGTGACCGTAAAGTATATCTAGGCGTTCCAAATCCATTCAAATTCAAGCTCGATGGAAAATTCACACAACCTGAAAGCACTCGTTCTCGGCATTTTACCGGCCTGCAGGCTCTTGTTTCCGACACCACCTGCAGTGCACACGTCGCCTCTCTCTGCGCGACACGGCTTTCAGGATGTTGCAAGCGCCTTGCTGGTACGCCGCCCTGCTGAGGATCGAAAGCGACCCTGCTGCAGAGGTAGAGGAGCCAACCTCAAGGTCAGGAGGACCCGCGAGCCGCGGTGCGGAGGAGCAGCGTGAGCTCGAGTGCTAAAGCTGCTCCGAACACAAAGATTGGAACCGAAGCACTGCAGGCTGCAGGCTTCTTTCATGTCTCTAGACTACCGAGGTCGCTCACCGTTTTCCAAGCCGCCGACAATGTGAATGGTGGTTGCGTTCAGCAAAAGGTCTCCTGACCGGTACAAACCCTCGCTGAGGGTTTGAGGCTCCACAAGACAACCGTGCCCTGGGGGACCTATCTCAAGTAACCAGTCTTTTGGGAGTGTCTCGGCACATTCTGGGCATTCTGGCCTTGGGCTTGCAGCGTGGACCCCATCTCCACTGTGATGTTTCCAGACGCTTCTATGCTGAAGCTTGCATCAGAGCGCACTGTAGCTTGATGTGTCACCAGCACGTTGCCGTCAAATACGAGTGGTCCGCTGACCACCGCCGAAGCCTCACGCCCCAGAATGCTACCAACCGGCATGATCATTCTCACATGCTTGTCACTCTTTTCGCAGCTACCTGTCGTCTTCACATCCTAGTGCTCTTCTTTCCGTCCTGTCTGCGACAAGTTCGTGTGCCGAGGAGCATTGATGACACAGCGGTTTTGCTCCTGGACGGTGCACTTCCAGTCGGCCCAAGCAACTGCGAGCGCGGCAGCCAGTAGCCATGGTCTCATGGCTTGGATTTGATGCCCATCGGGGCCTAGTTAGGGTTTAGAGTGTAGGGATGTGTAGGGTAAGGGGGGGGTGGAGCTTCAGGGCTTCGGGCTACTTGGGGCTGCTGTAAAGGCCACATCCGGAAGAGGGTAGGGGTACCTCTGAACTCGAGGCTTTTCTTACGAGGCACGAACATAGCCCATGCATAGTGTCAAGAGGAGTCTCGACCTTGACTTTGACTGATGACGCTATGTCCGAAGAAGCTTCGGCAGAGACAGCCCCCTCGACGTCCCTGCCCTACAACTCCTCGTGACAGAACCGCAGAGCATGCGGCGCAGCTGCGCTCTTTTGCGGTAGGTGCATGTTCCAAGCTCGTGTTGAGCGGCTGTCAGGTTGTGGCCACTGGATGCCAAGACAGCGTGAACTTCATTGAAACAGCGTTTGGCCTTGGTTGACACTCTTTTCCAAACCCAGTGGCCAGTGCAGAGTTCCACTCCGTGTTCCAGCGGCCTCTGCCGATCCAGGTAAAGAAAGCACTTCATCTTCGATAGCCCTGAGGGCTTTTTTGCCCGCGAAGACAGCTGCCGCACCTCGAATTTTTGAGAAGTTTCCTGAAGGGAGCGTCTTGCAAAAAACCTCTCTTGAAGAGTGAAAAGATTATTGATTGGGCCATGGACGCAGCTTATAAAAGTGTCGTCAAAGGAAAATACTCCTGCACCCAAAGACTGGACCAAAGGCTTCAGTGCAAACACGTGCATCCGTACTGTGCTGAGTCAAGTGTGGTCCCATGACAGCACACTTTGGGGCAGAAACAGCTGCGCATTAGCACTTTACAGGTTCACCAACATTGCCGTGATGTCATCCGTGATCTCCTTAGCACACACGTCGAGCACTCAAGCAGACGGCTGCCACGATGTCGCAGGACACCAGTGCAAGAACGGCACGTTGTCAGAGTCTTTCATCCACCGATCCCAACTCTCCTTCATCAGCCTGTCAACTGCCTCGCTGCGACAGACTGAGCAGAGAAGCATGCATGAACCACCTCGAAACCTTGCTGTCTGAGAAAGGCATGGCCCCGCCTGCTGGCAGTCCGGAAACTTCTGGACCATTCCGATGGCCTAGCGAGTGCCGCACAAGCAAAGTAAGGAAAGCCTATGCCATACCTTCACCTTATCATGTGCAAGGGCCTCCTTGTTCAGAATAAACTCCCAAACCTCAGATCCCGTTGATCAGTGCTCCTCTGCAGATGCACACGGACCATAGGGCTACTCGTGCGAAGCTCCGGTATGACTACGACTGCATGCCGGATAATTTCTCTGACGATCATCTTTGGAAGCTATGCCGCACCCCTTTGCAGCAAAGTAGCGCCATCAGTGCAAACTAGCAAGACTAGCTTGGAGTATTTCTCGCGCTCTGCCTCGATCGTCACGAATGTCAGGTTTCTGCGCAAAACTCAACTGGAATGTGACAGAATCTGCGGACATGGCTTTGAGGTCGATCACGCAAACGTCAGGCTCGGCTGTAAGTCCGGCCTGCTCCGATATGCGAGGCACTGAGATCTGCTTTCAGGGATTGCAAGGTGGATCTGGAACATTATATCTGCATCGAACAATCTGCACCTCTTTGTGAGCAATGATGTCACCCAGTGCGCGTGACATGTTGAGACCTGTCGGTGCAAGGCACACAACACCTACACCCCTGGGAACCCCAGTCTTCACATGGGCACATGTTGTCGTTCTGACTTGCAACGCAAGAGTGAAGGCTTCCTGCTGGACCGTTCATGTTTTGTATCAGAATCTGGCCTGGATACATGCCGTTCTGCGCAAACACACGGTGATTGTAGTAGCCTCAAGGAATCAAGCAAGTTGACAATGTCCATCAACGTGGCTGTTATTGCCGTTCTGCTGGTCTTTCGCTCTGGTCACGACCCTAAGCAGCAAAGAACCCTTTCCTGGACTTCAATGCTTTCCCGTCTGGAAAACTGTCCTGTCCCCACGAAGTCTTCTGATGTTCGGCCCAGTGGCCATCAAAGACCACTCGGCCGGGAGGAGTAGCACTCTCTATTCGAGCCTTTTCCTGGCAGCGCGACATCGTGCCCTTCTCTTGTTCTCATTATTCTTCATATTTCTTGCTGATGCAACCTTTTACACTATGAATCGCATTATAGCAACCTGTTTGAGGCTATTGTGCGACAGGGACAACTGAGGGCCGAACTTTCGGAAGGTCTGGTTTGTGATCGATTGTCAATTCCAGACTTTCCCATGGCGACGAGTCGTCTTTCTTCTTACCGAGCACACTTCTGCTGTCACCAACCTTGCATGAAGCGAGAGTTGATGGTACTGAACAAGGATCATGCAGCAGCCATGCTCGCTGCAGCTTGCGCAACGTGCGCAATGGTCAGCTTGTCCAACTTCCGATCGTGATACCTCAGCTCTGCAGAATGCAGAAACGGATGCATGCTTTGGGCCGCATCATTCACGGATGCGCGTTCTACGATGTCCGTCTGAGTACGAATGCTTGAACTTACGGCTACAAAACCCAGCAGCAACACGAAGCTCCTCTGACCTACCTGCCCAGAAGAACAGCAAGTCAACGTGTTAAACATGGACCTGGACACTCCGGACAACACGCGGACGAGACATGTGTGAGCATTGGGTCTCGAATGATGGATGCTTCATTTTGTGCGTCGTATTGCAGCCATACTTCTTCCACAATCAAATTATGCAGCGTTTCCTCAGGAGCCGTTGCAACAGGCGGTCACCATGACCTTATGCGAGGATAAGGATGATGACGATGATGGTGATTTTGACGTTCATGAAGATGAATGAAGATGACATAATGATGGCATTGGCTGTGACTCGTGACGCACGACCATGATCACGCAGAAGCCGGTGATGCGACGACGATGTTGACATCGGTCTTAAATATCTAATATCTGATCACGCTTGTTGCTGCAGCACGCTGTTTATCCATACAAAGCATGGGGAATTGGCGCAATGGTTCTGCTCTTCCAAAGTCTCCCTTCGCCATTACACTTCGCGCACTTTGCATGCCGGCCAGTCGCGGCGATTTGCATTTGTTCTGGGTTGTTCGCTCGATTTAGTTCCCTGATTCAATAGCTGGAGCTTAGCCGTCCGAATGTCCTTGCAAATTGCCTATTGGTCATAAAGCAGGTCGCCACTGGACACCGAGATGGAAACGATCAATCTTGAAGCCATGCTGCACTATGGTGCACGTTGTCCCACTCGTGTCGAACTGTCCTTGCTTCATGAGGGCCTCCTGCGTTTCGAGGAAAACCTGGCAGTTATGAGGCGAGCCACAAGCGCGAAGCCTTCGAAGCCGCTTTCTGAGCTGCGCCGCTGGGCCTTGGTCAGGACGGCTCCTGGATCCTTTTCACGATCCGGATCGTTCAAGAAGGCGCTGCACAACTTCCTGAGAGGCCCGTTGTGATCTACGGAACACTAGTTTCTGATGGGAGCCTTTGCTCTGTCGGCCCTGCCTCAGGGACAGGTCTGAACAGTCGTGACCTGCTGGACCATGGCCATCATAAACTCCGTACATGGCCTCGGCAGCACAGCTGTCTTGGGCGAACAAGTGACACGCGCCTAAGCACTGCAGGCAGGATGCAAAATCATTCTCCACCACAACCAAAGAAAAACTGTCCTGACGGAAGCAAAGAAATACACCGAGCTGCCTCAAATGCGGCAGAGGACAGCGTCGGTCCTGGTTAGGGCTCTCTGGCTTCAAGCCCTTTCTGCAGCCATAGCCAACCGTGGCTTTCACCCAGTCTTCCATCTCCTGACAAGACTGCAAGTAAAGCAACTCCAGCCTGAAGACCAATTTTAGCCAACATGGCGGCGCCTGTTCATCGCTGCCTGGAGGGACCAGCACGATTCTGTCCTCGTGAGGCGCGCTTGCCCCGACCCAGAGCCCGGAGCCAGTGCACGGCGCCGTGTCGCACGCGTCCTTCTCGGAGAAGCTCTGGCGGCCTTGCAGGTCCCTGTCGGTGATGGAGGTTACCTGAGACGTAGACTTAGAAAGCCTTCAAGCCCTGCCCTGGGCCCTGGGCCCAACTAAGGCACAGGCATAGACCGCTCGAGTCTTCTCTTCTCTCGCTCGCTCAAAAACCTCAAGGAGCAGAAGGTGACCCTGGTCCCTGGTGGCTCTGGGCTGCTCTGCGAGATCAAAATGGCTAAGCTCGGCGCCTCTGCAATGCCGGTCTGCCAGTGTCAGGCAATTGCTGTCAAGAGCAAACTGCAAAGTTTTGAAGGGGGCGCCTCCCTTTCGGTAGTCCCGCTCGATCTCGTGCCCACGACAGGGGCTGTGATATTCCCGATGCTCATGCGCTTCCGGTCCATGGCCATGGTAATGAGCTGGTGGCCTCAAGGGCTCTCAGGCTCTCAGACTCTCAGTTCAATGATTTATGGGTAGCACCATCTTGAACGAATGCAACCAAAGCACTTGGACAGTGTCCGGCTGTCCACTGCTTTTCAGGTGCAAGCACCAGCGAATTTCCCGGGGGTTTTTGAAATGCTTGGATGCTCTGTGATGGCTCTTGATCTGCAGTAGCATCTAGGCGGTGCTCTCAAAACTTGCACACCTTCCTGTCCGATAGACACCACACAACCAGCACCAGAGACGTCTTCCCTGCTCCGCCAGAGCTTGCTTGGGCCAGAAGTGCACAGAGACGTAGCTCACAACAGACGTCAAGTGCGCAGGGAACTGCAAGATCGGACTCTGACAAAGCTTTTGCCCACTCGCAGAGGAATCCGAAGCAGAAGCCGGCGAAGTTGGCTACTTCCGTTTCGACTTCTTCTTCCTGGAATGCAACATGTTCCCAAGAGCAAAGCGTTGGCTGAGTATCTTTTCGACAAGCAGCTGCTTGGAGGGGCCAGCAGCAGGAGATTGAGCAGGTTGAGTGGTTGTGGTGGCGGTGCTGGTAGTGGTGGCGGGAACCTGCAACGGAATGGGAAAGGCAGTCGCGCGTCGCCACGGGCTGCTGGGTTCTGACCTCTGGTTGAAAAAGCGTCTTGGGCTTCTCCTCCGGCACTGCGGGTGGAAGCTCCAAGTCCGGCCTTGGTAGCGGCAAAGCCCAGCTGCCCCGCTCAGCTCATGAACTCAGTGGCAGCAGCTCAGCTCCGAACACTTGTGATCCACCAGAAACTTGCCTGCTGGCCCTGCGAGGAATTCCCAGAAAGAAACAGGAGCTTCGCACCAAGGGTCTATCTCCACAAACTCCGAATTGAAGAACAAGCCTGCCGTATTGGTTGGTGTCTGTTTGCAAATTCGAGCACAGGCGTCAGCAATTTGACAGCACCATTCGGCAAACTGGGTATGCGAGCAAGGAAAGCTTTGGCTTTCCTGTAATGCCGGGGCCTGAAAGCAGGACTGAAGGCAAACTCAGCCTCACCTCCGCACCTTCAGCAAAACATTACAAGAAATCCGCGTGAAGTGTTGGCTCCCTCGTTGAGGCTGCGGACACAATGGCCCATCCAGATGAGTCACTCGACGCGCCGGCATCCTGCAGCAAGCTGCCAAAACCAAGATTCTGAACCCTTGAAGCCTCAAACCCTAATCTGTCTTATCTAGCGAACCCCGCCTGAAGAGCTATAAGTGTGTTTCGTCAGACAGGGGGCTTGTACAAATTGTATGCAGCACTTGCCTCAATGATGACCGGGAGAGTTGCCCGACTACGACAGCCAGGACAGCACAAGACAGCAACGTAGCAAGCAACATTGGGTGGCAGCAACCACAGACTCATTCCTCAGTCATGCAGCGCATGGGATGCTTTGAGGGATCGAAGGGTAGCAAGTCAGTGACGTGAGTGTCAGGAGGCACGACATGTTACGAATTCTTGCCCTTGCGGCAGGCCTCAGTCCAGACACGAGTTCTATCGAAATGGATCTGAGCGCTACCACCTCATTGGCCGGAGTGCTTGTTTCGTTCCTTTTCACAACCAACGTATCACTGAAGGAAAAACAGCAAAGGCCACAAGTGACGGCTCAGTTCGAAGACACGATGATTCATCACCATGAGACTTCGGATGTGTGCAGGTCGACAGTGGCTCGGAATAAACTAAAGGTTGACAGATGTACCGTAGATGTTCCACAAGAGCAGTGTGCACACAAGAATGCTTGCCGAATAACGGGTGGTCCTCCTCGCCACTGTTCTTGCGCTGCTTGCGGCGCCTGCAGAAATTGATTGAGAAACCTAAACAAAGCTTCTGAGCTTCTTGTCCAGTGGCTCGTTTCTCTTGGCGCTCTTGCTGGCGCCTCAGCATCGAGGACGCACTGCACCGCTCGACTTTTGGCCCAGCTTCGGAACTGAGACACTGGCCATCCCCTTGTGGTGCCAGAGGCACCTCCAATCGTAGCAGATGGAGCAGCTCGCTCGCCTTCCTACCAGTTCGGATGCGGCAGTCTGTGACGGTTGTTCGCAGGGTGTTGGCTCGAAAACAAGCAAACAACGCAACTGCAAGGGCAACTGCCGATTATGTGTACGACCAGTACGACACGACCAGCTCGAAGCCTTTTTGGAACTTGTCTCTGAGAGCAGCCTGGAGCGTCCCCATCCAAGCACCGATTTAGGATTGAATCTTGCAAAGCACAAGACGGTGCGACACTGCACAAAAGTGCAAACCAGCTTAAACTTTGGCAGTGCTTCTGCCCTGTCTCCCCTGCATGGGTACAGTGTCGCGAAGATTGTGGCAAAGCATACGTGGCCCTTGTACCACTTCAAGTAGTTCAAGTGGCACGCCACAGAAAAGCTTGCCTTCCAAGGCTGCCCTCTAAAAGGACACACCACCACCGCGTTTCTCATGCTTTTGGCTTTCTCGTGCAATTTCGAATCTGTAACTTGGGCAGATCGCAAGCGGAGACACATCGAGAACTTGCATATAGCGCAAGGTTCGGCAAAACCGATTCATGTGTCTGCTGGCGCCTGGCAACATATCAAAAGAATAGTGCGTGATTCCCGTTGCGAATCACTGTGAAACACACTCTGCTTTTCAGCTGGATCTCAGAACCAGCGCACAAACGAATGGGTCCTGGTCTCTGAAGCTTCCAACCACACGACATAGCGTGCTCAAGCACAGCAAGAGTGCGGAAGACACTGAGATTGTCAGCTGTGGCTGCGGCCAGAACACTCTCCAAGACTGAAAAAGTCCATGCAAACAGTATCTGCTTACATGTCTAAGCCTAATCTGGCATTGCCACGGCATGTCTGTACGGAGGCTGCACCGCATGACTGCAAGGCTCTTTCGCCAGCAGCATGCCCACAATCCAAAACCATCACGGCATGGCCATGTTGAACACTGCTTGGGCACAGTTCGAAAAGGAACCGCGGATTACGTGCCTGAAAGAAGGCTGTGGGATTCCAGCTATCCCAGCCACAGGTGTCCATTGAGCAGCTGGAGTATCCCAGCCTGGCCAAGGCTCTCAAACTTTCATCTGTCCCTCTGAGCCTCGAGCTCTTCTCTCTTGACGGTCTGAGACTCTGGCTAGGAGATTGGGGCTTGAAGACCAGGCCAGTCAAAAAGAAGGCACAAATTAACGGCAGCGCCGCACGCGGCCATGCTCTGCGACCGGGCTTTCGTGGCACAGGCCACGGCTCATAAGGCTTTGACAACCTGAAGAGAGTCATCGAGGCACTACCAGTATCCCGTGGTGCCAGATACTTTGGAAGCACATCTGCTTCGAAGACGGAAGGTCCGAGCCCCCGACACGTTCAACCATCCAGTGGGGTTCCAGCCGCATTCATCCTGGCATCGTATGCCGAATACCGCGAAAGAGTAACTCAAGCCAAGCGAGGCCTGCTCGTGATCCTCCGGATCATCTTTGCCGGTCAGCCACGGGTGGTGCTGTACTTCGTCAAGGCTTGGCCGCCTTGCCTCCACCTGCCCGGTCTAACAAAATATTGCTAGATGCTAGAAATCCACTTAGCACTTGCTGCACTTAGCTTTGCAGTAGGCTGCTTCCGAAACTTATTCCAGCCCAAACAATGTGTACCTGTCGTTGTACCGAAACCGCGCCAGGCTTTGCAGGTGCTCTGGTGTGGTGCAAACCTGAGGCCCTGGTCAAGACGGGCATTTTCGACAAAACACCGCCTTGTTAAGCATGGCCTGGACCAATCTGTTGCCTCAGCAGCACATCACAGCACCACAGGCACACAGAAGCTTCCTTGCCCATCTTGCTCTGCCCAGGGGCAGGATCGGCTAACCCGACGAAGGCGGAAAGTCTTTGAGCGAACCTCATGCTCGTCTACAAAGGGGAACGTGTTGCTGGCCTCAGTACGAAACAGACAGCTGCCAAGAAACGTGAGAATTAGCAGTGTGACCGGAACAGTGGAATGAAGTTTGAGTGTGTGGCCATGCAGTGCAAGCAGATGCCCAGGGCCCAGGTGTCCACCTTCGGACCGTAGTCCTTGTCCTAAGCACAGGGAACAGAAACTCTTCTTAATTCTAATGCTTGCAGAGCTGCAGCCAGGCGACATACATCTCCGGAGACCAGTAAGCTGTCGTTCCAACCTCAGAGTTTTACTTGGGGCCCCGAGTCCTCCACACAGTCCCACACATGGCTTCGCCTGTTCAGACAATCGCTGGTTCTTGTCCGTCACCTTGCAAGCTGATCCAAGGTCGGCCAGGACCACCCTGCAAGAAGGGTCCTGGGCTGAAGATTGCTCAAAGAGGAAAAAACTCGGAAACTTGTTCCTCTAAGCTTCGGTGAGCTGCTCGCAGTCGATCAAAAAGTTCTCTGGCTTCACGTCGCCTCGGGTGACCGCGAGCTCTCCAGGTCCCACACCAAGCCCTTTCGTGTCCGGGCGACGATGGACGATCCCCAGGGTATGGAGATACTGCACTGCAGCCACCATCTGCCGAACGATGTGCACCAGGCCGTTCATGTCTACCTTTTCCCTGACACGCCAACACACATCGCCACGACAACTTCAAGACAACAAGTGCTCTGCCCAGCCTCATAACGTAGCTCTGGAGTCCTGCATAGCATGTTACCCGGTATACAATTTTGGCCAAGGCCGGAATGAATAGAGGAAACAGCAATGGTCCAGTCAACAGAGCTGCCACACTAAAACACCACCAAGTGTCCATCGAGGAGATCTTGGTGCATCCGATCCATGACAAAGTACACGGATGTGCCATTGTCAAAAAAGTCATGAATCTTCACTATAGAGCCTCAACTGTCCAACATGACTGAGGGCTGCGATAGGACAACACATTGGGCAAACGGGGGTCACAGGGCCGCATGAATTGTGAGCGTCTTCATTGCTGGAAAAGGGCTGTGGCACATGCTGCGCAACAGCATGGCTTCATCGCGGGTTTCTTTCACTGCGCCGGGCCGATCTGCACACACCTAGCGAAGAAAGACTGACGAAAAACAAGATCGCCGTTTGAGCTGTCTTTCAGCTGTCAAGCGCGCCTTGGCGGCCAAAGCTTCGCCTTGTTGACATCGGCTGCAAGCGTAGACAAAGCCACTGAAACCTGCAGCAATTTAAGCTCCGCCAAACAGCATGTCACGTGGTCTACAACAGTAGCAAAGCTGAAGTGTACATCATAGCAGAAGTGGCTGCACGGCACGATAGCCTCTGATGTGCTGCAGTACTCGCTTGCCCGTGCACGCAAGAAGGCTGCAATTGGTGAGTGTATGGGCTCGGTGCCGCTGGTGCCAGGGCTGCTGGTGCTGGGGGGACGGGGGTGAGGGCAAACGGGGTTTGGGCGCAACCAGTACCGCATGCATCCCAGATCGAGGCGACGAACAGGTCAAGTGTGCCCTCCTGCTCAGCCGCATCACGCCTTCACCAAGAAGTTCTCCAACTTCATACTTGCTCCGGAGGAGGTCTGCCGCCAGTTCCGACATGGCAATCCGCTTTGGCTCTGGGATTCAAGCACGAATCTGGATGAAGCACGTGAACTCGCGCGATGCCACGTGCCTTCACTTGAGATGTTGTAACGTATGGCATGCACGATCATGGCACTCTAAGAAGGCACTTCTGAAAACCAGGTCCGACGGCAAGGTGTCATGGGTCAGATGCCATGCATTGTTTAGATTACACTTCGGTCCTGGAGGCTGCAGGCATATCAGCCATGGGAATCAACCAGAACTCAACTAACCTGACTGTTGGCTGGGCCTCACCACCCGAACTGTCTTGTTGGCAGGACCGCGAGCCTTGCATGGAGCAGAGCACAATCTTAGACGTTCTCGCAGCACACTTCACGGGAATGGCCTTCCTGCTGCTCATTGATGGGGAAGCAGGTGGCGTGCCTGCCGGATTCGCTTCTAGGGCTGGAGTTGTATTGCTCGTGGCCGCGCCATCGGGTCTGAACGAAGGGGTCGATGCCCGCGAAGCCTGCATTCGATGTCTCAGGAGGATGTGGCACCCATTCTTTGTTTTCATGGTGAATCCGGCCCACAGGTGTGATCCATGCCACAAACACTCACGGACAGCACCGCAGACAGCCTCTGAAGTACCAGCGACGCAAAGCAGCGGCGAAACCTGACATGCAACTTTGGCAATCCACCGCTCTCAGTACGAAAGTCCTGGATCTGTCCGTTTACCATGGCGGAGGTGCCGGCATCATCGCAGGCCTCAGCAGCTCAGCAGCTCAGAGCCCGAAGTGCTGAGAAAAAAGCCCATGACTGTTATTGGCTTCCGACGTGCCGGGAAGGCTGCAGCTTGGTGAAGGAGCCGGAGGTATGAAGTCGTCTGCATCCGGTCCTCTTCTCCAGCAAAAGAACCGGGCAGCGACACTTGGACGTCTCTTTTTCGTGCTTTCTTTGGGCAACGAGGACGGTCTCGGGGCCTCTGACAGTCTGGCCAACCCTTCTTTCTGTCAGTTCGGAACAGTCTCAATATGTGAAGGGTGGTGCTCACCTCAGATCAGCGCATCTACTACAACTTTACCACAATCTGCAAGTTTCAACTCACATCACCCCTGTGATTCAGGAGAGCGAGAAAAACAAGCGCCAGTAAACACGCAAAGGGTCCTTAGCTCATCTGAGCCAGTACGCAGCAGACGCTCTCGTAACGATTTACAGGGTGCGAATCTCAGAGACGGATCCGCATGCAGCAAGGTCCCCATGGAAACACTGCTCCCTGTCGCATTCTCTCTACTCCCCTTCTGGAATCCTGCAAGATCATGGACCTCTTCCAGGAGGGTGCGAACGCACCTTTCAAGCGTCTGCTCAGGCGAAACACCCAGCGACTCTCACAAACATGTTGAGGCCGCAACTCCACTGTGCACTGCCTTGCTCCGTTTGCACAATGCCGGACAACATCGACCACCACAACAACGACGACCACGCCTATGTTGCCAACAAGTGCAATAATGCGATTACCAATGTCCGTGTCCCTCCTGCTTCTAATCGTCACTCTCTTCTCATCACCACCATCATCACTGGGGAGGGGGAAGAAATCCACATTATCGGCTTGTGCCAATGATCCAGCATCAGCGCTGTGAAAGCAGCATCGCCATCATCACGAATCAACATAACAGTCATATGGCCATAACAAAGAAATCATCGTTCCCATCACCACATCATTGCTTTCAGCATCCTTACCATCAAGACTGTCATCACAACTAGGGAACTAGCATCGTCATCGAGGATGAAGAGCGCAATCACGAACCGACAGGCCAAAGGCATAAATTCCAACTTAAACCTTTATTGAATCTGAAATTCTACCTTGTTTTCATCATCATCACCATCAACATCAGTTATTCACATGAACCTGAATCCAAGTCTACCTGTGCACTTCGTTCTTCTGCACCACCACCACCACCACCACCACTACCGCGAGCAACATCATGTTCTGTTCAATCGGTGTCTTCATCATTGTGAACGTCATCACCGTAGCCACCATAAGTTAGCATAATCATGAGAACCTTCAAGTTTCAGCGAGAGAGACCCTTGCATACGTAGCAAGCAATGGCGAGCACCAGGCCTATGTGCAGAGGTTACAGTGCCACCAATGCGGAGCCAAGCCGCGCGATCAAATCTGGGCTGTAGCCGCCCTCGAGAGCCAGGAAAAGGCGGCCCTGCAAGAGTTTCGGCAAGCTCTGTCCCAGCTTGATTCAAAGCTCAGGCCCGCGCCTTGCAATAGTGCCTGGACAAGCGGTATAGGCAACGAGTCATCCTGCAGAAGGACGTCTTCTGGTCATGTCCCGTCTAGACCGGAGGCATGAATCTGAACACGATCATGTGCGGTCCATCCAAACCCTTCCGGGCTGACACGACACCCACCGAGGGGATCTCCGTGGACCTTCGGCCGTCACAGCCAAGGAGCAGACGACAGGAAGCACTGGCAAAGGACGGCTACAGGCTTGCGTTCGGCGCGAGCCTGCGACCCATGCATGCTTGTCAATGTTCCCGGTGCATCCCGATACCCGTCCTGGCGTCGTCATCACTGTCGTCCTCGATGCAGTTGTGGGCGTCTCGTCTTCGTTGGTCCTCGTCCTGCCCTCGTCCTTCCTTTCCTCCCCCTCCTCCTCCTCCTCCTCCTCCTCCTCCTCCTCCTCCTCCTCCTCCTCGCCCGTCCTCATCCTCGACTTCGTCATCGTTGCCGTCGTCATCCTGGTCCAAGTCGTCGGTCGTGGTCGCGAAGTGGCGGCGGGAATCAGCAGTATCGGGAAACTAGTTAGACAGGTCTTTGCGTACATAAGTGACACAAGATTCGCAAGTTCCCGGATCCACCAAATGCTCAAAGGAGCAGGAACCCGGATCTGAACTCCGAGCATGCAAGCACGAGCCTGTGGAAGACAATCTGAAACGAAGACCGGTGAAAGACTATCTGAGACGATGAGAGTACGATCAGTAGCAAGAGTGGCGGCAGTAACAATACCTAAGCAAGAACAGAGCAAGGATAATCATGTCGATTGGACAATACCAACAACAAGCCACATCGGGACCGATAGGTTTCCCGCATCTTCACGGCTGCCACTGGAATTTGTTCAACACTCCAGCAACTTGCAAAAGACTTCCCACTCAAATGCTCATTCGGACAGTTCTCGCTTTCTAAACGATTGAAACATTGGCAACATCTCTAGGGAAGCAGGCCGCAGGATTGCAAACGGGAGAAACGCACACCACCAGCACCTGCAATCCGAGCATCTGAGGGCTGAGAGCTTGAGCTTCCGACGGTTTTCAGTGTCAGCTTAGGAGACTCGGATTCTGCAGGTTCAGAACGTGTGTTAGTCATTTCCCGGAATATGCTCAGGATAGCGACGCCGCTGCTCAAGATGCGGTCAAACAGGGACAGGAAACAGAGTCTGCAACGACCCGTGGCCAGTCTCAATGTTGGGCTTGAAGCAAGGGGCTTTCAAGCTCTTACTTGATCGGATGAGGTCCACGCTGCATCGAATCCAGCCGAGATGAAGATGGCTTCGGGGTTAAACTTCTCGATAACTGGGCAGATCAAATAGCCTCAGGCTGCCACGACCATCACACCTGAGCCTCCGACCGTATCAATCACAGGACTTAGGCTGCGACGCATGACGTACGCCACATCAAGGTCCCCAAAGCCCTTGTCCAAAGGCACGTTGACGTTATACCCTCTGGCACTGGACTTTCCGACATCTTCTGCATACCCTGTGCCGGGAAAAAACGTGCTATCGTATCTGTGCAGGCTGAAGAAGAGGACGCTGTCGTCATCGGCGAATACGTCGTTCGTTCCGTTTCCGTGATGCACATCCCAATCAAGGATGGCGACACGCTGAAGTCCATGCTCACGTTGGGCATGTCGTGCAGCCACCGCTATGTTGTTGAACATGCAGAAGCCAGATGCCTTCTCGGCACTGGCATGGTGCCCGGGAGGACGTATCATAGCCATGCCGCATCGTTCACTGGCAGTATCTCTCATGCAGTGGTCGACCAAGGCTAACAAGCAACCAGCAGAGAGAAAGGTACAGTGCGGCGTGTGCTCGTTCGCGTAGGTATCTGGACCGAATGGCCTGACAGCTCAGAAGCCCAGGCTGGCAAAAGTGAGAAAAGAGCCTGCAAAGACCTAACCGCTAAAGGACCTAGAACACAAGACTGAGGCCAACAAGCCAGGCAGCAATCCCCAGTCTTTGCCCTTCTTCTTTGGAACTGAAGAAGATTTGGATACAAGCTCGATGTGATTCTCCGTGTGAACCCTCAGCAACTCCTCTTTGGTTGCTTCTCGGGATGCAACTTGTGTGCATGTCGATTGCAAGCCTGACAAGTCAAGCTGCTTCAGTATTTCTGCAAGCCTCTCGGGCCGTTCGGGGTGGTTGGTTGGGCCGGCGTGAAGGAGCATTGCTTCATCACTGACCAAGGCGACGCAACCCCTTCCGTCCAGCAGCTTGTTCCCTTCCAACCACGATTTGGTGGCGGAAGCTCGAGAGTAAGCTTGCGAAGAGGTGGCGGAAACGCTCGAATGGCCCGCAGAAACTTCCAGCCCATCGCACTCGGGTCCAGCTTCCAAGTGGCCAGCCTCCTCCGGCATGGTGGGGGGGCATTCAAGCTAAGTACTAAGCCATCTTCCATAACAGTGACAGTCACATGTGAGTTTAATTTGAGGCTCGACTTCGTGGAAAAAGTGTATGTCACCTTTTACAGTGAGCTAGAAAGCATGCGACTTCAAATGCCTTCAGGTCAAGAACCGAAAAGTGAACTGCAGAAGAGTTTTGAGCTGGAAAACTACCGATTTCGATGCTGTTGTTTAGGGGATTCGGTCGTACAGATGTGAACCCGATGACTGTCGACAGCAATCGGAGTATGCATCCTCGAGCCCATTGCGAGCAAAGAAAATACAGGTGTTGCAGGTGCAAGCAGGAATGCATGAAGGTCAAAAAGGCAAGATTGGGGCATTCAACACAAGTTACTACATGTCAAAGTATGTGCCACGAGATGCGGGCACATTTCCGGATGGAGAGACCTGTTGCATACTTGCCTACGACGGCTACAAACTGAGGTCTCAGGCTTAACTGACTCCAAGGTGTCGCTGCACGTCTTTTCCGAGCGAAAAAATGGACTAGCCACCGAGGGCTTGCGTTTCGAAGACCTGCACCGGACGACTTGTTTACATCCCGTGCGGATGCAATCAACTGCGTTGCCGCCTCTCCCACTATCCACCTTGGCTCCTCGTAGGGGGTGATGTCACCTTGGAGGCCACAGTATGCTATCACAAAGACATTGCAGCTGAATTTTACTCTTTCTACCAGCATGTGGAGAGTTGGAGCGCTCAGGGCAAGGGCTTGAAACATCGTCTCCAGCGCTTGCCTTGCACTCTCCAAACACTTCGCACCCGTACTGTCATCTCACAAGCAGGCCAGCCAGTCGGTCACGATGGCTTCTTGCTGCAGGCCGGAAGACAGCTCCTGCGATAGATTCCAACAGCCTGATCCACGCGCACTGATCGTTCGTGCGCTTAGCTCCGTGCATCACGGACGAGTGCGGCGATGTACTGCCTGACTACAAACTTAGGCTCCAGGTCTTCTGGCTTTCCCGCCGGAAGAAGCAAGACGACCCGAATAAAGACGACACTACTTCACCTGAGAGCTCAGTCCGTGGCATCTGGGTCTTGTGCTCCAGAGGTAACTCCTCGGATCCCTGTTCGCTCACGTCTGCCTCAGCCAAGGCGACTCGTTTCGAGCGCTCGTCAGGCCGGACCGGCCACTCCGGTCACTGGCCTGAATGCCGACGATGAAGAAGCGCTCCTCCATGAAACACACTCTTCATCAACAAACTGGAGCTACGTAAGTCACATAAGCATGAAAGTCCGATGAGAGAATGCAGAGGCAAACTATGCAAGGCGTGCAATGCGGTCCTCACCATCTTTCGTTCTGCCGACCGACAGGCCACGCCTTATTCCGGCTTACTGCACAAAGGAGGCATCCCGAAGCGACAATCGTTTGTACGGCAGGCAGGCAAGCCGAACAGAGTCAGGACGACCCCAAATCTGTCTACACTGCATTCAGGTGCTACCGGTCGCTCAAGCAGGCGGCATGTCCAGCAGGTTCAGAAATGGCGTACCATCTGCCTGACACCAGCACTTCAAGTCACGTCTTGAGCGTCAAGACATTCAAAGCACCTTGAGATTCTTCAGCACTCCGCAGAAGTGCTTGCCGGTCCTCTGGGCAGCTCAAGGGGTCCACATGGCAACCCAGCAAGCACGACCTTGTCACAGAACACAGAGGCAGATTGAGGAGCGGGCTTTGCAGAAACACGAAGACCTTGCCGGTCGGAGGGCCTGAGATGCTTTCAGCGAGACTGTTCAGCATCCGGTGCCTCAAGAAAGTCATGGGCTCAAGGACGGGGCTGGATGTCACAACCGTCGTTCAAAAAACGGCAATTCTGCCTGGCAGATGCAGACGACCAATCTGATGCAAGTGCCACTGATCTGAAGCCACGTGTGGAAATCAACACTGCCGCCGTTGCCCAAGAATGGTCTCGCGGTCATAGCCCGTCAGCTCGCAAAATCCCTGAAAGTACAGGCATGCGCTCTGTTTGGACTCCCGGCGCCCCGCAACACTTTAGCTTTGCCAATCTGTGCAGATCCGCCCATGCCAAGATCAATCACTGAAATATGAGCTTTGTGATACTTGTGATACAAAGTTCCACCATGCCATGCAGATCCATGCTCTGGGTTATGGGATCGCTGTTCGGACAAGTCGCCAATCTCTGAAACCATTTTTTCGTGCAATCTATGGACCAAATCTGGCTGCGAACCCGCCTCTGAGACGGAGATGAGCGGGCAGTCGGGCTGCAGCAGCACAGGCATCAAGACATCCAAGGCGACCCGACAAGGCAGGATGCTTTTCTTCAGTTATACGTCAATTTCTACTCCACGAGTCTGGCCTGTGCAGGATCAGCAATGCTCACCTAGGCTGAGCGATGAAGCTGAAACGCTCTACAAAGAGAACTTCCAAGGCGCCCGCGGAAAAGTTGCAGTCCCGGATACTCCGAACCTCTGCTGCTGAATGCGGAAATGCTTTGCAATCACTGCGCACACCAGGTCTGAACAAGAGCAATTGTGCATACTAAGCGGCCACAACGCAAGTCACGTCGCTTTCAATCCTCCCGCAGAATGGCTACTACATGTCCCTTGCTCCACACAACCCAGGTAACCTGAGCAATGCCAATTACCCTCAGCGCTCCTGGCCAACGTCTCATCCAGATGTTGCTGCAAGTCACCTGCTGCGTCAGTGTCCTGGCATGCGACATTCACCAGTTACTGCCACATGCTACAACTGCTGTTCGACCCTGTGGCCTGGCTCATCACGGGCAAATGGCACGCGACCAAGCATGTCGGACGATATGAGCCGAATGCCGTAATTACACTGATCGAATAGAACGGGAGTAAAGGTGCTGGCTGCTGATGTGTTCTCGATTTGCCCGGTTGTTGATTGTCACGTTTGGCAAGGCACTCTCCCCACACCCATCTCGAGCCGAGAGTTCAGCATATCCAACTGAAATCGCAGAGCTCATCGCGAATTTGTTTGCTGGCCCATCCTACAAATCAAGCTGGGGACACGTACCCCTTATTATAAGTATACTTAGGAACCTTACAGAGACCCTGCTAAGTGAGAACTTGTAAGTATACTTACTTATAGATTCCGTAAGTATATTGATTTTTGTTTTTGATTATGAAGTTCCATTTTAGAGGGTTCAATTTCTTCAAGTAAAAAATCAGGGGCCACCACGGCTGCTTGTTTCAGGTCTGAAAAGACAACGTTTTCTCGATTTGTTAAATTCATAAGTTCAACAAATCGCGGAAAACACCGCTTTTTGCTGAAATCGCAGTGATTTCCCAGCAATTGAATAATTTGTCCTCTGTTTTCGGGTTTTCACGTCTGTTTTAATCTCACCCTTGACAAGAAAAGAGCCGTAATATTCTTGGTTTGTGCACTAAACCGTATGAGTATTCAGGGTTTATGGCTTATAGATCGGGTTAAAACGGATGCTTAAACCCCGAAACCTTGAACCCTCAACCGTGAACCCTCAACTACTCCCAAAAACTTGTATTGATTTTTGGAATCCGGATAATGACCATGGTTATAGGTCAACCTATCATCCCCCCCACGGCAGCCCTCATGGCCCCCCCAAACCCTCATGTATCCTCACCCGCGAAAAAAACTAGAAGACAATTGGCACCAAAGCATCATTAGCGAAAGAGTTTTGCGCTACGTCAAAAAATCCAATGCGTAGAATCATAGAGTCAGAGAGTGAAGTGCATATAGTCATCAAGTACATGATAATGCCGAGATCGATGTACTTGACTTTGCGTACTCCATTCCATGTTGTCAGAGCTCTCGCATCAGTGCATAAACTCAAGTACATGAAGTCAACTGCATACAGTGAAGTGCATAGAGTCAAGTGCATAGTCCAGTGCATAGAGTCAAGTACATAGAGTCAAACAGTCCAATGCATAGATGCATAGAGTCCCCCAGGTTAAATCGATTCTTTGTATACAAACTTTAATACTGGACGTGTCTCTTTTGGGCTAAGGTCAAATTTCCGGTTCAAGAGTCCCCAAACCTCAAGTTTTTTGGATGATATTGAAACAAACCAAAATCTCGAGGTTTATTGGTTTACTATTTACTATTGGTGAACCAATGCCTATAAACCCCAAGCCTGAAGCCCTACACCTTTCAGCAATAAACATTAAACCCTAAACATTAAACCCTCAGCCCACAACCAAACCCAAAAGAGTCGTAGAGTCAAGTATACATGTACATAGAGTCATATTAGTCTTGTCCAATGGTTGAAACTAAAGGCTTCTCAAGATTGCCTTCCCACTCTACTCTCAAACACACTTTTCTCACTTCGCGGGCTGACTTGCTTAAGCCTTCGTGTCGCGGTTCACACACATGTTTCATGTGTTCTCGTGATTACTCTACACACTCTACTTGGGACTACGTGCACTAGGTTACAAACGAACACCCCGCCTCAGAAAGTTCTTGCGGGTTCCTAGGGTGTTCTTGGAAACTGCTAGGGCTTTCTGTACAGTGCTTCTGCTAGGGACTTTCGTCTCCGTTGTTCTTGGTCTTTTACCTAGCTGCACTCCTGCCCTGTTGCTACTTAGGCCTTCTATGTCTGTACATTGGCCTTATTGAAAAACCTACTCTGTATATACAGCTACGTTCTAGTTAGGTCCAGCCTATGGACTCTTTGCGGGGAGGCCCGTACCCCGGTTTCCTTCTGCCCTTACATAGCCTACGGGCTTTTCTTCTTTCGGGCTTCTTCTCTTTGTTCTTGGCTTCTCCGGCTTCTTGCCACTTCTGGCCCTTGTACCTTCCTAGCCTGCCTGTTGTGAAACTTCTTGTGAGACTTTGGAAGGTTGTAGCTTACCTAGGCTTACTGCCCCAGTTTGCTACGTCTATACAATTGCTCACACTTTGTACATGAATTCTTGTGCTAGTATACATCAAGTCTTACGTTGCTTAGCTATGTACATATGTACAGGCGTTCACTGCTTGACCTGCTCGATCATCCCTTCTCGGGATTCTTTCACTGGGTCTGCACCCAGTTCTTGGACTTCTTGCCTTTACCCTTTCCTTTGGGTGTCCACTGGTCCCACTGGTTCTGCTGCGCCCACTCTTCTGGCGATTGCCAGTAGCCTTTGTTGTTCGGGTTCCCGTTCTCGTACCAGTTGCTGCCGTCGTCGTTGGTGTTCCAGTTCTCGTTGTTCCACTGGTCGTTGTACCACCAACCGTCGTTGTGTCCGTCGTCCCAGGAAGGGCCTTTTCCCTTGGTTCCTGTGTTGTCGCTCTTGCCCTTCATGCCGATGCGTCGCTGCACCTCTTCCTCGATCTTCTCGTTCTCCTTGGTCTCGAGGAATTTATCCAATTCCTTTCCGTCTGTAAACCACATGTTGTGTCTTCTGTAGCACTGCGTCACCTTGTTCCAAAGGAGGCGGCCTTTCACCGGAGCGTTCTTGATTCTCGTGCTTCCTTTCTTGTCCTCGCACTTCGCGCGGTACTCTTGCGTCTTCTTGTTGAACTCCCACACGTAGCCAAGCTGCGTGAACTCAGCTATGTCGTTGGGGTCGACGGTAGCTTCGTCTCCTTGGTTGCTTGACGGCTTCTCTTCTTGGTCTTCTGTCTCTACCTGCTTTGGCCTTTTTCCTTTCTTCTTCTCTTCCTCTTTTGCTTGCGCTTCTTTCCTCTCTTTCTCTTCTTCTGCTTTGCTCTTGTACGCTTCTTCTGTCTCTTCTTCACCTTCGCTTCCAGACAGGGCTGCACCTATGGTTTCCTTGAGGCTTTTGACCTTCTTCTTGTACTTCACGATCTTGTCCTTAGCTGCAAGTAGAAGTGCATCCACTTCCTGTGAGTAACCTTTGAAGTACTGGTAGTCGTCCTTGAGGCTCTTGTAGTCGTACTGGAGGTCGTCGAGCTTCTGGTTCCTTACTTTCTCTTCTTGCTTTAGTACTTTAAGCTCTCTCTCCAGGTCCTTCTTTGCGTCGTCCACGTACTTCTTGGCGTACTCTTCTGTCTCGTGGTCGTAGCCGGCGGTTCTTTCCTGTGCTTTTCTCTCTCTCTTCTCTGCCTCTTTCTTCTTCTTTTCAACCTCTGCTTCCTTTGCTTTGACATTCTCCTCAGCTTCTTCAAGGGCTGTCTCCTTCTCGCTTAAGACCTTGGCTTGCTCTTGGAGGGTCTCTTGGTCTTTCTCTAACTTCTCTTCTCTTTCTGTAACTTTGTCTTCCTTTTCCTTCACCTCCTTCTGCTTCTTCAAAAACCTTTTCACTGTCTCCTCAAACTCTGTCTTTTGGTTTCCGAACTCCTCCTTTTCCTTCTCCAGGCTTTCCTCAACCTTCCTCAACTTCTCTGCTCTCTCTGTCACTTCTTTCTTTGCCTCGTCGAAGGAGTCCACGTCGTAGTTCACCTGAGCGGCAGGAGCTTCAGTCTTCGCTTCGTCTTTCTCTGCTTTCTTTCTCCTTCGGTTCTTCTTCTTCTTCTCTCCACTTCTGCTTCCTGAGCTGCTTTCCTCTTCTTCACCGCTGCTCCTCTCTTCTCTCTTCGGCTTCTTGTGCTGCTGTGGCTTTCTCATCTCGTTCACGACAAACCATGCCGCCATGCACACCATGGCGAGCGTCACCAGGACTTCCAGAAGCGACATGCTTCCAGGACTGCTTGGGACTTCTTGTGGGCTTGCTACTTCTTGAGCTGCGGCGAAAGGTACGTAGGCTGCCTCAGTCTTTCCAAACAAACTCGAAAGTGCAAACAACATGCTGCTTTTGTTCTTCATGATCTTCTCGAGTCTTCTCACCACTTGTGCCTTTTCTTCTTCCTCTCGCTCTTGCTCTCCAACTCTTCCTTCGCTGTTGCACATGCCGATCATGTTCAGGAGAAACTTCACTCTTTTGTTGCTGAGAGGCTTTGTTCCTAGGTCTGCTGTGTTTTCCTTTGTAGAGAAGAAGAAGAGGATACAGAGAGTGAACCAACAGAAGTTTTTACCAAGGTCCCTGTCGAGTTCTTCGATGAGGAGAAAGGAATTACAAAACTGGTGCCCATGCTGGCTCTCGCCAACCATTGGGCGATCTACAGTGTCGACGTGAAGGACGCGTTTTTGCAAGTCCCTCAAAGAACATCTTGTTTGTGTCGAGTACCTGAAGAAGCAGCTCACGTCGTACAAGCAATGCAGGAACAACAAGAACACAGCCCTGGAACGTGGTGTTGGAAGTTAGGTTGAGTTTTGCCAGGTCAACGCGACGCATCCAGTCTTTGGTTAGACTTTTGTGATGGACTTTTGGTGGAAGAGAAGTTTGAGCGTTGTACAGCAGTTCCAACACTTTACCCTCTTCTACGACAAGGAAAAGTGGTTGCAGCTTGCATTGTGCATGTAGATGACTTGCAGTTTGCAGGAAAGAAGGAAGTCATCGAACCAATCCTCAAGAACCTCAAGAAGAAAGTGAGCCTACAAGTTGAAGGACCTCTTCTGAACGAGGAAGACTACGAGAAAGGATTTTCTGAGGAGACCGTGAAGTTTCTCAAAAGGAAGTACACGTACGAACATCATGAACTACGAGTACATAGCGATAGCAAGTACGTGAAGAAACTCGTGGAGATCTTCAAGCTGGAGAAGAAGAAGGCCAAGAACTCACCTTGCACACCGGCTAGTCAGAAACCTGACGTATCCCAAGAACTGGACGAGGAACACTCGAGAACGTACAGAAGTTGTGTCGGCATTTTGTTCTACGTGGCGCACGACCGTCCGGACATTCAGTTCGCAGTACGTAGCCTAAGTACTGCCATGACGAAGCCAACGGAACGCAAAAGACAGGAGTTGGAGCACTTGGCGCTCTACCTCAAAGAAACGTCAGACTACGCCGTTACGTACCACAGGAACAGTCCAGGAACGTCAGCTCTACGTCACCGCGCCGAAGAACCACAAGAACTACAAGAACCTCGAGAACACCACGCGAACGTTTTGCTCGAAGTTTTCAGTGACTCCGACTGGGCCGGAGACAAGCAAACTAGGAAGTCAGTGAGTTGCGCCATGTTCTACCTGGCGGTGCATATTTCTACAGCTACAGCAAGACACAGAAGTCAATAGCATTATCTTCAGCAGAAGCAGAATACATGAATAGGTTTACACGCAGCAGTTCGTTTCCTTACAGGAGAACGAGTACTACTCAAAGCATACACAGACAGTTCCGCATGCCGCGGAATCACAAACCGCCAAGGAACAGGAAGAGTCAAGCACTTGCAGATTCGGTTACTTTGGCTACAAGCAGCAATACGCGAAGGCAAGCTTACTGTACACGCAGTCGGCCGACTCGTACACAAACTCATCATCTGCTTCTTAGACTTCATCATCATGAGGCATGTTGAGGTAACCGTCTGTTTCCTCTGCTCTGTTGACCTGCTTTCGTAGCTTGCTGGGTGAACTTGGTTTCTCAGGCTCAAAACTGTGCTTGCTTGCTTCTGCTCTTGGTTCAGCTGTGCTGAAAGTGTCTGCTGAGACTGTGGTTCAACTGGTCTGAGTTCCTCCAAAAGGTATCGTCATCAACTTCAGCTCTTTTCTTTTTGTATCTCTCGTCACACTCATGCTGCTGCCTTCGCTTTGTTTCTCTCTGTCTTCAAGTGCTCGCTGCTGCTCTTCACTGCTGTCCTTCGAATTTGGAGAGTCGCTAGCGGCCTCGTCGTTCTCGAGCTGTTCGCGTTCTTCCTCGGCAACAGGGATCTGCAGTGAGCCTTCGCACTAGGAGCTTTCCGTAGAGTTCTGGTAGCCCGCTCGGCCATCGTGGCATCTTTGCTAACGATCTTGTCCATCAAAGTAATCTAGCTTCTGTTCAGACTCCTTTTGAACTTAGTTCCGTGGCTGGAGAATGCTTTGGTAGCAGGCGTGCATGCACGCTGCCGGCTGCAGCAAAGCTACCATCCTGGAGATTCGAAACCACGGCCATCCAGGAAGAGAGCGGGAGTGCGGTGGCCAGCTTCAAGCATCATCTTCGCCGGGGCTGCCTCTTTTTTTGGCGTGAATGGGCCTCGTCGACTACGGCTGTAGCACTCGGTCCCTACAAGCAAACTAACAAACTACAAAGCACAGAACTACAAAACAGTGAGACAAAAGCGAAGCTCAGCAAGCTGCGGCGCACAGGCTTTGCCGGTGGGAGCCGTTCAGCAAACTACGAAGCCTCAGCGACCGATCCGAAGCAACAAAGAGCCGTCGCTCTGAGCCGCCCAAAGCAGCAGGTGGAGCCAAATCCAAGCTCCGGCACCCGTTCTAGTCTCGACAGACAACGGACAGCCCCTGTGCTTTGTTTCATCACGATCGAGCACACCAAAATCCAAAAGTCCAACGCCCACCGCGGCGAGCGGCTTCTAGACATGATGCGGAGCCAGAGTCGTTGCGACTCAAAGCCGGCCAGATGCGACCGCACCCCGAGGACGAGACCAATCGAGTCACGGTGTGCAACAGTGGCGAATTGGATGCCGGCGTCCAACGCCGCCAATCGCCGCCCACAAAGCGTGTGGCCAGGCCAGGATGCGGGCCGTAGGGAAAAACTTGTTGTGCGTCGAGACCCAGCACAGCGCAAGTCAGGAACGTTCCAAGAACGGCAACGGGTCGCCCCTGACGAGGCTTGGGCCAAGGCAAGACGGTGCGGCTGCTCGGGACGGGCCCCTGCCGCGACCTGATGCTGGTGGCTTGCGAGCTTGTACCCGGCGCAATCCTCAGTGCAGTGGCTCATTCCATTCCCACCCTTGTTGTTTTTGCCCTGCTCGTTTGCCCAGGTGTCCGCTCGGCATGGCGGCTGGACTCGAGGCGCGCAGGGAAGCTGGGCACATGGACGACGCGCCCGCAGCTGCAAGGTAGGTTGCCGATGCCATGAAAGCTGCACCTAGTCTCGGATATATTTGGATTCGTAACGACAGCGAAGACTATGACGGCACAGAGATCATTGTCATAGGCTTTTCAGGGCCTGATCCGAAAAGGACCTGCCTCAGGGCCTTGGGCATCCTAACTGGTTCGGACGATGTTAAAGAACGGGCTTCACTAAGCTTCCTACTCTCAAACTGAAGCGGTCACTTTTCCTTGTGGGTCACTGTGTCCGCTGGTCTCGAGCCTTGCACGTCGCGTGTGCGTGACGGCTGTTCCTGTACATTAACTGCACTGCACTAACTGTGTTACTGTTCCTGGCAAGATGTTTAACACCCCGCCTTCGGAGTTAGCGAAAGTTCCTCGACTGAGGTGACTCCGACTTTTCCTGTCAACAGTAAACACACTGCAGTTCCTTTTCACTTGCAAAACAAACACTCTGCCTCATCGCAAACATATGTTCCTATGTTCACTCGCAATCCTCTCCAAGGTTGCTCGACTGTACAAAAGACGTTCCTTTACTATACTTAGATCACCACAGAAACAAAAAGGGCTGTGCCACGGTTCCTGTGTCCTGCTGCTTCTTTCCTCGGCTCTCTGGCCTCAGTACTGCTCGCTGTTCCTTTGCTTCACTGGAAGGTCACTTCGCCGTCGTCGACCTTGTAGACTTTTACTCCTTCTTCTTCGTTGCTGACTTCTTTCTGTTCCTTGAGTTCTTGCTCTAGCCACTCTGCACGCTGCCTTGCTTGTGCTATGCACTTCTCTTTTCCTTGCTTGTCTCTTGATCCTGCTTTCCAACCTGTTTCCTTTGATCCGGAATACCAGTACCACTGCGTCTTGGCTTCGTTCCACTTCCACTGGTAGTTCTTGTTCTGGAAACCGTAGACTGCAAACCAGTTTCCTTCAAGCTCTCCTTTTCCTTTTCCTTTCATGAACGATTCTTCGTTCACTGGTCCTTTGGCGGAAAGTTCTGGGTCGTCCTTTCCTCCTTTCCTTTGCTGCTGCTGTGTGACACTCGGTGGCTCCTTTCCTGTTCCTTGTGCTTCTGGCTTCTCCTCTTCCTTTGCTGGTGTTGTGTCTGGTTCCGTGGGTGCCTGCGACCCGGCTGCTGATCCTCTGCTCTCAAGCTCCTGTGTAAGGCTTGCAATTCTTTCTTTATCCTCTTTGCGTTCCTTCATCATCTCCTTCATCATTTCTTCAAGCTTCTGGATCCTGTCTGCTTCTCCTGATCCTGTTGCTGTTGATGCTGCTGCCTTCTTCTCTGCTTCCTTCTTGGCAATGTACGCTGACGATGCCTTTTGATCTTCCTCTCTCTTCTTCCTGGCTTCCTTCTCCTTTCTTTTCTTCTCCTGTTCCTTTCTTTCCTTTTCCTCTTCTTCTTTTGCTGCCGCTGCTTCGGTCTCCTCCTTTTCCTTTGCTTCTCTCTCTGCTTTTGCTTTGGCTGCTGCTTCTACCTCTCGCCTTCTCTCGGCGGCTGCGGCTGCTTCCTGTCTTGCTGCTTCCTTGTCTCTCTTCTCCTGCTCTTCTGCTGCTTCTTCCAAAATCCTTCTTGCTTTGGCAATCTGCTCCTCCTTTGCCTTCTTCTCCTCTTCTGCTTTGGCTTTTGCTTCCTTCTGCTCCTTTGAGATCTTGTCCTGTTCATCCCAATATTTGCGATCATCTTCATCTCGAGGTCGAAATCCTGTGCTTTCTGCTCTTGCCTTTGGCTTTCCTTTTCCCTTTCCTTCCTTCTTTCCTTTTGTTCCCTTCTCGTGCTTGTACGTGTAGTCCTTGTCGATGTGGATCTTTTCTCCTGTGACTCTGTGCTGCTTGTAGATCTCGCCGTTCTCGGAGTATTCCTTCCATTCGCTGCTGTAGTCGTAGGGGTACGGAAACTGCTTCTTTTCCTCTTCTTTCTCCTTTAGCCTTTGCTTGCTTTTGGCGTTGATCTCCGCGATCTTCTTCTTCCTTCTTTCTTCCTTTGCTTCCTCGCTTTCTTCTTCCTCTGCTGCTGCTGTTCCTTCTTCTGCTTTGGCTTCTTCGGGGTACTCCCCGGGATCTTCTCCTCCAACGTAGCTGTCCACGTAGGCCTCGTTCTCGTTCTCGCCGAAGTGGTCCTGGCTTTCTTCCTGTTCTTGGAGTCCTTCGAAGTAGCTCCTGTCTGACCAGTTCCTTATATCGTCTTCTCCTTTGTGTTCCTGGGAGGTAGGTGACGTAGCTCTCGAAGGTGC